CAGGTGTCCGGCTGAAATAAAGGGATTCATGTTCAGCATCCTCATGAAATAAGCCAAGCTATTCTGTTGCATTCAAACTTTAAAGCCTGTGTAGCCCTTGTTTAAACTTCCAGAGAAAATTACTTTTACAAAAGCCTGAGACAAAGTTAATGGCGAATGTCCTTATTTTTCAGGTATTCTATAAGGCCACAAGGCCTACATTTCTAATCATCTTTCACAAAGTTAGACAAAAAAAAGTTGTTCTTTATTTTCCTGTGCACGGTAGCACATGTCAATATGCACACTTAAACTGAATACTTGCAATTCACAAGGAGTAAAAGCATTTATGCTGTGCGAGTAAGATTTCAGGTTTGCAACATGCCGAATGTCCTGGCCTCGATGTAGCAAATCGCTTAAGCATATGCTTAACTTTATGGGTAGTGTGGGAAGAGAGGACAGTTATATGAAAATCTTTTATGCTCCGTTTCCTTGAACATCATATTAATTCTCTATGGAAGCTCAATTCCCATGATTACCTATTTCCCAGCGTTGTTGAAGTGAAATTTCTTAGCGAATAAAAGTTTATGCATTGAAAAGTTCTTTAAATGGTATTAGGGATCTCTTTCCTTGAAAACTTAAATCCAAATTCATAAAATAGAAACTTCATGCCTTTGTACAGCAGCCTGACTCCTTGCTCCTACTACCCTGTTTGGACAGTTCTAGACCTTCACTCATCTGATGATTATATCTTCTTCTAGTTTCCCATCTAACTGTATTCATGATCTGTGCACATCCACTGTACAACAGTATTCTCTTTTAACTTAATTATTCTTCTCTCATAGCTAATTAAATGAATTTATAAAGAACGGCTGTACCATCTCTCAACTTTCACAGCACTAGTCAAATGCTTTTGTGACATCTCATAATCTCCATTCCTCTGATTGCCATTATAGCCCTTTTTCTGTACCTGTTGCAGCTACATTACAGTATTTTGAACACAGTAAGCAAGAACTGTACATAATATTTTAAACTTTTTCAATGTGGCTCCTCAGGTACCTGGTAAAATGAAATACCAATGTGTTTACTGGATAAGGGCCTTAGGTTGCACAGTTTTGAGCGAAAAGGCTGCCCGTGTTCCTGCTCGTCGCTAACGTATTTTTCGGTATTGTATTGCTGGGATGCGATTGAGCTTTTGCAACATCAGCAGATACATGGGCTTGACACCTACATGGGTCAAGCATCTGGAGTAGTATTCTACTGTGGTTGAAGCAAGCTGTTGTGATTAATGCTTTGTGTCATTCAGTGAAGGAGATTAATGCGCTATGTATAGCACGTTTCCTTATCAGGTGGAAGCAGAAGGAAGTTCCTGGTACTGCTGAGCAGCCTCTTGCTGTCAGCAAAACCATGCTGGGGGGGACTTTTAGGGCTGGTTAAGTAGCATCTTGTAGTTTGGTATTTTCAGGCTATAAAGCATTTGCACTGAGTGGCTGGCGTTAACTGCTAAAATGTATTCCCTTTCAAGTTACCAGGCTGATAATGGGATGTGTGTTAATAAATCAGTTGCCAAGTGGTTGATTGGGAATTTCCTTATTTGCTTTTATTTCCAAGAAGGCTTGTATAAAAGCCAGTTGTTCAGATCTTGTTAGATTATGGGAGATGGAACATCGACGCTGAGTTTCAGATGTCTCTGCTTGCCGTGTCCAGGCTTCCGGGAGCGATAGTCCTAG